CAACAATCACTTTAAATAATTCTTGCCGATTTTAACAGCATGAATTCATATGATTGTTGAATTAAAATGTTCTCTGAAAATATTTGTACAATTTTATTCCAAAATTTTACAATGTGCCATTTTAAATAACAGTCAATCGTATGCCTCTACTTTTTACGTTTGTTGTTATTGTCTTACGTATTAAATATGATTGTTTAAAAAAATGTTACTTAATAAAAATGTGAAATGAATTATATTGTTATATTGAATGAGTGTATATGAAACTGTATTTCAACAAACAATTAATAACAAACAATTAAATTGAATTGCAAGAAATACTTCGATTAATAAAACGATTTTGTCCAACAAACATAAAAATTCATTCATTTTAAATGTGGAATTAAAATTATCAACAAACATTTTAATTCATCAGTCATATAAATTCGACGATTTGAAAATTGAAGCCGAATATTTTCAACAATCACTTTAATTCAACAAACAAATAAATTTTTATTGTTAGACGTAGTAAAAGAATCTTTTAAAATGATTGTTGAATTAAAATGTTACATGAATTAAAATGTTTGTTGATAATTTTAATTAGGCGCTAGTATACACGTACCCAAATACACTAAAGGATAGTTCCTGAAACTTCCGCACAATCACAGATACGAATTAAAATTATCAACAAACATTTTAATTCATGTAACATTTTAATTCAACAATCATTTTAAATAATGCTTTCCGATTTTAACAGCACGAATTAATATGATTGTTAAATTAAAATGATTGTTGGGAATATTTGTACAACACTTCAATAATTGAATTAATATGATTGTTGAATTAAAATGTTTGTTCATAATTTTAATCCCACATTTAATATGAATAAATTTTTATGTTTGTTGAATTAGTTCTAGTTAGTTATATTACTGTTCGTTTATGTATTCGTTTGTTGATTTGTATTGTTAAACTTTCGTTATACACATTGCTATATAATTCATACATCATTTCAATTAAGTGAAGTTTTTTAAACAAACATATTTAATGTTTCACATAAAAACAACAAACATAATAAATCGGGAAATAAAATTAACTGTTGTTTACAATGTTACATTGTAAACTTTCGTAATAAAAAGTAAAACGGCGTTCCATAAGAAAATGTCGACCAAAAACACCGAATAGTCAGATCTCCATTCACAGCGCACATTCATACTTAGGGATGGAACTACTTATTACAACCCAAAGCAACAATTTGGGTTTTTATCGATTGGTAATGGGATTCAGGGGGTGAAATCAACCCTTAAAGTTTATTTTAGCCTTGTGCAGTCTTTGTTTCCGTGTATGTTGTCCTAGGTGCCAATTTGTTGTATTTACAAAGTTGATTTTTGCAAGTTAAACGTCTTAATTTAATTTAATGTTTTTTTTATAGGTTTTGAATATAACAAAAAATGTAAAAAAGTCGAAGCAAATTTATTAAATAAACTGTGACAAGGTAACGAGTAATTTCGAAAATCATTACCAAAAGATTGATCGAAAAATTTGACCAACTACTCTGACGGAAGCTTCTATTTTGGATTTAAATTGTCCCGAAGAAACAATAAATTAGAATTTTTAGAGCTCTAAAGAATGTCAACGCTCTGTACTATCTTCCCAAACAAATATTGTTCATGATGATGTAAAGAATTTATCTGGATGATTGGAATCAACAAAATATGTATCATTTTTACGCAGTGGTTGTAAAGGCGTTTTGTCGTTTTAATTGCCTCTAATCAGTCGCGCCATCAGGAAGCCTAAGGACGCAGTTACGACGGCGACAAAGTTGCATGTTTAAATCCAGTCGCGAGACGAAGCCGCTGAACGTGCGACTTTGTAAGGCGCTACAGTTGCCCAGTGTGAAGGGGCACTAAGCTTACATCCATTTTAATAGGGGTATAGTATTAGATTAGTGAGCTCATCAGGAAGTTCTGAAAGATATGGCATTGAATAACGATCTTTAAAATATTAGTGGAGAAAAAAACACTAATCAATAGAAACTTTAGACATCACAATTTTTAGGAACAATCCACCATTTTGGACGTTCAAAATTTTACATAACTAAGGGAGGAGATCAGTCCGATTAGAAAATAAAGGTTTAAATTAAACTCTACATATTTTCAGGGTTTATAGTTTACCTTTAGGTTGTTACCCATAACCAAGTGTTAGTCAAAAGCAAAAAAAGTTTTCCTTTATCACCGTGTAGGTATAATACAAAACTTTATTTTGCAACAGAATCCATAGAAATCATTATAAAACATCTGAAAATACCAAGCACAGGTTATCCCGCCGTTCCCATGTCAACAACAATTCTGAACTTCATTTTATTTCATGCGCCGCGTCCCATTTTTATTAAGAATGACAGATGTAATTGGAATGCACAATGATTTGTTTTACCTATTTATCTACCCCTGCTGTTAAAGTGCTCATTTTATCAACCCTAACTGTTACCTTACTGACACCTTAGGCCTACTCATCCAAACCTATTAAAATCTCAATTCAACATCAAACATAGGCACCTCTAAAAAGCATTATGCGGGTCACTCTGTAATTGGGCGAAAGCCTGTTGAGGGCCCAGAACAAGAGAGGGATAATAAATAAATAAATAAATAAAACAATTGAGCCTTTTACTCAACTGATTTGGTCATAACATTAATAGCAAGTTAAAAAAGTAATTGTAAACGATTTACAACAAGCGCATTTCCGCTTGCATTAATGTCTCATTTGTAAGATCCTAACATTCTATCCCAAAATTTCAGAAGAATTATTGGTTCACAAATAACGAATGTGGGACTGGGCATGCGCAGTACTTGTTTTACGTGTTTTAGTTAGATCGGATTGCGCCCTAAAACCCAAAAAGGATTGCGGGCAAAATTATGGAAGACGGTAAAGCTAACCTCCTCGTCGTAATTTCTCGGAACGCCGATAGGCTTTAATGAATAAAGGTTTATTAAAAAAGTTAGCCCATGTGAATAATTTGGAAGATAAAAAATGTTTCAAAACTCACAGACAGACGACGGAAAGTTGTGTATATAAGGGTTACCGCAACTTTGTTGTGTTACGTACAACTTATGTAGTCGCTTTAATACGTTTCTCTGTCATAAAGAACTATATTGCCTATTGTTTAAAACAGCTGAGTAAACGTCTTAAAATCGTGAACCTTAAAAAGGGTTTGTACTGAATTATTTCTTCGTCGAAAGGCATTCTAATTACTGCAGCGGAAAAAAAAACCCATTAAAGTGCAGTTTATTACGGATTGAAATGTTCTTCCATTTCGTAGTAATTTTTTAAAGACACGTTTCCCATTCTTGGTCAAACTAAGAAAACCCAGACAGTTTGTTTGTGGTTTGTTTGTAATTTTAAAATACAAGGATCAACCAGGAAAACAACAGCGTTCTCCAATCTTTTTCATTTGTCCAAATTACAGGGAAAAGAATATTTATTTACATTGCGTCGGTGTGGAGTTTCTTGCTTCTGTAAGGATAATTGTAATCTACGCAATGCGGTATCAACATTGTCAACCGGAAATAGAAAGGCTGGATCTTTCAGTTGTAAATTTATAGTGGATTGAGATGTTGCAAATTTGATTGAGAAATTTTGTGTTTGAACGATTCTGAAAGAGAGTAATCTAGAGGGTATCAAAACACCATTGTGGTTTAGCTCAGTTTAGCTAGTATTTTTACCGTTCATAAACCCATAAAGAATTGGAGTTGTTTGTAATAAAATTAATTCGCTCAGTTTAACTTTATGAAACACTTCAATTTATTTAGTTCCAATTGATATTTTAGATGTAATGTGTATAAAAAATTGCTGTAGTAGATTCGATATCAAATTTAAATTGGTTTCAAAAAAGATGAGGCTGAAACATTGATTTTATAGATTGGACATTTTAAAGGGTAATCTTAAATATTAAAACCTGTAAAAAGCAATGTAATTTGAAATCTTTCCATCATTTATTTCTTCATTAGTATATTTGAATGATAATTTTGTGTTTGAATTTGCAAAAAAACCTATCAAAAATGAAGTATTGAAGTCAAATTGGAAAAAGAGGAATGTTCAATTAATCGTAGTAAAATTTCATACTGAGCTAGCCGTGGTTCAATAGTTATTTGTACAACTAGTTTTGAAAGTGATACTTTTTTCATGGATTTGCAGTTTGATTAATGAGGGCGAAATTCACGGAAAAAAGACACTTTCAACACGTGTTGTACACGAAATTTTTTTGCATAGTGATAAAAACATTAATATTGCTAAAAAATGTGCCGTACTTATACGAATATAAGTAACTTTGTTTAGTACTATCATTGAATAATAAATTATTCAATGGTACTACTAGGAAAAGAACTGACTACTATGAAGTATATAATTTGTTGTAACCTTTTTTTATAATTTTATTGCAGTTTTTATTAAGTCAGGAAAAAACATTTCTGCCATACCTGGCCTAATCGGGGTACAACCCGAATACAGAGATACCAAACTTAGTAATTGCCGTGGAAATGTCTACGGATTGATTATAAACAATGGATTTGATCGATCTTTAAAATTAAAAGAAGCTTCAACTAAATAAGGGGCTCTGAAGTAAATTAGATTTGCTGTGGTCACAATCAAATCATTTTAAAACGCTTTTGAAGTACCTATACGAATAAAATACATTATATTCCTTTAAATCCGGATTCGCCTGAACTGATTGACGGGAACGAACAAAAACGTACGTCTTAAATGTAATGTGATCAATACTCAAATTTTATTGCTATGAAAAATTTCTTATGAAAGGCGAAATAGAGTCGTGCAGAGAACCCGTAAACATATAAAATGGAGTCACGTTCTAACTCTACCACATTTCTCTTGTCCTGGGGAATGTGTGAATATTCCCGTCAAGTGTTATCGACTATAATGTGAAATATGAGTCAAAGGAGCGTAAGTGACACTGAATGCCAATGAACAAAAATACTGCGAGGCACCAAGTTCAACATTGCACATTATATACTTACAGTAGTAGCAACAGCAGTAGGTGCATTAGACATGTATTAAGATTCCTCATCCATTTATCCGTGTAACGAGAAGTAATTGAATAATCATCGCGAAGTCTCTGTATCCCCTTTTTGCTGCAACATGTTTGCGCTATAATTGCGCACGGCAGCGCCAATGACAAGATTAACCAAACAAAGAGCCAACAGAGTACCGGCCCTTCTATCTTGATTGCCTGAAAAAAAAAAGCAAAAGTAGAGATTAGGTACCTTAATTAGACACTCGATTGGCACGTACCCAGTGATTTATTACAAAAGTTATTTGAAACTTGTTCATTTTATGTTTTAAATCGAACTTAGTAGCTAATTTATGTTGGTAAGTTCTGAAGTTTCCTCATTTTTTCGAATTCCGTTGTAAAGTAATTATAAAAATTTAATACAGAAAGTTAAATAAAGTTGCTTTTTCATTTATCTCAGGCATTTTTTTTTCTTATTTCTAACAACATTATTCAGGCAATTCCCATAGTATAGCAAATTCCAGCTTCGCGTTTATTACGTTCGACTCGTTTAGGTTTAGTGAGATAGTGATCCTATTGGCAGAAGTACATTACATCTTGAATAGTAATTTGATTAAATATCGATTGCGTTGATGTACCTTGTATAGGGTCCAAAAGCCGTGCACTAAGTTTATTATCCGAGAAGCAGCTGTTGAGTACCATAATTTTCAATTGACGTCGCAAGAGAAATACGGCGCTCCCTCAATTTTACTACCGAATTTCGGATTCAAGGACGGGGAATAAATTTAATAACCTTAAAATGTTCTTTACCTTGAAAATGAGGATATGAATCGGTATTTGATTTTCCAACACGCCTTTTAGGAAATCTGAAACAAAAATTATGCATTAACATCTGAGGAAGCTGAAACATTTGTATCTGAGAGAATAACTGTAAAGTATCCTGCAATGAGTATTTATGAAACGAGGCGCTCAATCTCTTTGGATGCAAACATAAATTTTACTACCTAAGGTCTTGACTTGATTACTTTTTTAAGTAAATTCATAGCCAAACTAGGCGAAGATGCAATAAAATTATGTAAAATAGTAGACAATAACTTTTCTTCATGCGGTAGTATGTACTACACAATTTCTTTATGTATTACAACTAATTATCAATAAATTTATAACAGTCTCAAAACCTATCCATTTATAACAATAATTATTATTTATCATGTATAATTTATAACATAATGACACAAGTGCTTTGATGTTGGAACTAAACCGGAAACATAATTCGATCACCTTATATAGCAAATATTCTTTCTAGGATGTTTTCAAGTGTTCAAGGACGATTCAGAATTTTCTCGAACAAACACGTCATATTTCGCGGAAAGATTACGTCACATCTTCCTTCGAATAATCGCTACAATGCCCTCCTTTTAAAACTGTTGCGTTTCGCAAAGGGACGACAGTTGTACGGGAGATACAGTCTCAGGCTAATATTGTTCTATATCGCGAACTTGATGGCGGTACTTCACGAAGACCCTCCTCTTGCATCTTCTATTCTTGAAGAACAAACGGTCTACTGTTTTACGAATCGGTTGCGCTAGTCCAATTTATCAAGACAATATCCAATCTTTGGAATTGCCAACTGGGTAATGTCATGAATTTGTATTTGCCGTTTCAAGTGCTATAGCGTAATCAAAAGATCATCGTAACAAGGTTAATCACAAGACCGGTCTTTTGTTACCAGATAATAAAGGAATCGCCCCTGCTCCTGTAGCAAACATGTTCCACCATCCTCGGGACGTTGAAGGTAAATTTCTCTTAAGCGCCCAAACCGGAACTTCAATTCTACGGCAATATCTCGGGACATCTTCACGTCCTTGGTTACCCATTATGCAATGAGCCAAAGCGTGCTTCAAACAAATCAAAGCGTGCTTTCTGAGTTCCGGAGTAATTGAATCACATTCTGTTCCTGGAGCTTGTTCTGTCCCGCGTATGGGGCCAACCGATTTATGTGCACTACCACTGGTTTTCCTCGTGTGGTTTCCGTAGTCGATATATTCACTCGTTTGTTCTCTTCACGACTGTATACGGTCCTTCCCTTCTTTGTAATTTCGGGAAGAGCCCACGCCTCCTTTGGGGACGATACAACCAGGCGAAATCTCCAGATTGATAACCACCATCTTGGACCTTCGCCGTTGAGTGAGAAATAATTTAATAACAATAATTTAGCTTCGAAAAAATGGTCCTTGGAATATTTGTACCAGGAAAATTCGTCTGAATTGTCTCGAATAAATCGGCTAAAGAATATCTACTCTCAAAAAGATTTTCAGTCCCAAAAATTCCTTACCGAAAAAGTCGTCCTGGGTCAACTCTCCATGAAAAAGCTCGATTTTAGAAAATTCATCTACGAAAAATTTAGCGTCGAAACAATTACGTTTGGAATATTCTGTTTCTAAAGTTTTTCCTAAAAACATTCGTCTTTGGAAAACTCGCACCTAGAATGCCCTGGAGTACTGGAAACTTATTTTCGGAAAATTTGCCCTTGAAAAATTCGCTATGGTAATATCGCTTCCGGAAAAAAAATCTTCCTTAGAATACCTTATCTGGAATTTCTTACCAGAAAACTTGTTTGCGCTCGAAAAAATTGCTGTCTCAAAACTTTTTCCCTAGTCAGAGTGTAATTCCAGGGGCACTTCAAACCTGTTAAAAAGTTCTTTTACTAGAACGTCTGCCACAGTTTTCGCTTCTTGATTTGGTAGAGCATATTTACTGAAATAGTCCATCTCCACCAAGATGTATTTGGACCACCCACATTCTAACTGTAACGAGTCCCACTGAGCCCGATACGCCTTTAAAAGTGGACATGCTCCTATTGTATCTTATATTTCATGGTTTGTTGACCGGATTTGATTTCTTCTTAATTGACTTTCATTTCTGCTTTAATTTCCTGCATTAACTGCAGCAGTTGTTCCATTTTTTCTGAAGTGGATGTGGTTACTATTGATATACTTTCACTAATTGTCCACTTAACACAATCCCACACCTGACACCAGTGTAACGTAAATTTAATGGCCTCGTTTAATTATTACAACTATAACTTTAGAACAGTCTAACGAATTGATATATAACAGCTAAAAATATTATTTATCATTTACAATTTACAACATAATAATAACACAAGCGCATCGAAGTTGGAACTGCCTGAAATACGCTACAATTTACTTATATAGTAAACGGTAATTTTTCCCGGAAGGCTCTTTATCGCCGATGACTAATCTTTCATGGATCCTGGATGTCTATCACGATTTCTGGAATATTCGCTACAATATTTTTAACTATTTAAATTTTCCTCAATATATCTGAACCTTATAGTTAGGGGAGCTAGCTCAAAATCCACTGAACGAGAGTGATCAAAATTTAAACCGATGGAGTTCCACTTTGCCCTATCCGAGTATGCTAAAATCGAACGTCTGCCGCCTCAGGTCAAATTAATTAAGGCGTTGTGATACTTCTTGCGGTGCCAAATCTAAATGGTTGTATATACCAAATGAAAACGTTGATAATAGCTCTTAAAAAAATATTTTAAAAAATCGTGAGCATTTGATAACTCCGTAAATAACAATTTATTCTTGGGCGGTTTCTCACGAACTTTCTACTGATGAATTGGTTCTCTAATTGGAAGGTATCTTAATAATAAGATAATAAGATCGGAAATTAAAGTACTCCGCCCCACTTCGTACTTCAATATTTCCTCGCCAGTAATGTGTCATTTTCCTGACTTTTATGTAATAGTTATTTATTTCATACTATCTAGTAATCGCCGCTTTCCCAGACTGATTTGAGTCTGGTAAATCGTATTTTACCAGACTGAAAATTTTTACCAGACTGGAAATTTTGCCTAGCAACCACAACTGACATCCATCTAAACGTATGCATTGATATTTGTCAAACTACTGTCAGATCAAATAAATCAAGTGATCGACTTTTGCTTTTATTTTAATGTGTACCTACAACATTCTAATCAAAATGGTATTTTAATATAAATAGAGCAGTATGAAATAAAATGTTTTACATTATTTGTATGTCAAATCAGTTTACGTTACTCGTTTCGAAATTCCTGCCTCAGCTACGCTTCGGCAGTAAACATCTCACTCGTTAACGTAAACCTTGATTTACCATACTCATATGTAAATAACTATTACAGTGTGCTTTTTCAATCCATACACTTTTAATTTTGTAAGCAGACACTGTGATTAACGTAAGCATTTTGCTTAGATCACAAAATGCAGTAATAATTTTTATCTTGCTCGAGTTAAACCCATATTGATATCTACATCAAAGGTTTTTTTTTCCAAAAAGGTGATTCCAATGAAATGAATTTCCATTGGTAGTTTTGTCAGCAAATAAGTGATGTTGAAGATTGTTTTTACTTATTGTAGGGGTAAATTGGGATCTGAGGTTTTTATTTCACAGAACGAATAAGGAATTTTCTGGAGAATTACCACCGGCTGTCTCTCTGGGATACTTGCTACAGTAAGCTACGAGGCGCTTAATCAATTGTCCTCAAACGAGGACATAGGCCTTTAATGGATTTTGACAAGCAAGTAATGCATTTACTAATTAAGTAGCTATTTTGTCCTTAAAAGCTAGCTGGGATAACAAATTTATGAGAAATTTCCAATTTTTGATTCAGAATTCATATGTTTAAGTAAAAGAGTTTAAAAACCCTATATGTTTTGGAATAGCGTATGATCTGCCTTTGATCTATAAAAAAATAATTAAAGATTTACTAAATAATTAGACATTATTAACTGCCTTTCAGAAGCATCTATTGGACGTTCGTGAACCATTGCTCAAAATGGGGTGAATGAACTAATTGAACAATAAAAAAAAATTATTCATGGGGAAGATTTTGAGTTGTACCTATACTATCCGACTGCCTTCCTTATGCCGTAATACGAATTTAACGAGACCTCAACATCCGACTCCGACTCTTCCAAGTAAGTATCTACAAGTTCCAATTTTTGTATCAAAAGATAGCGTTTAAGGAGCACCCCTAAACGATCGGCTGCTTATATTAATAAAGGATGTGCGGTGTTGGCGCCTACAGATGTCTTAACTTAATGACTACACCTAAATCGGATTCCGAAAAACCATACAAAAGTTTCAAACCACTTAAGTTCGTAGTGAAAAGGGGCCAAAGTTAATCACACTTCCATCTTACCCCACGAGCTGGAGTGGCTCATTTAAAACCCGTTATGTATCAAACATTATCATATTGCTATCACACGGAGAAAAATGTATGTTAAAGGTAATTAAAAATATAATAATAGGTATCAAAAAATATAATACGTATAGGGATAGCTATGAAGAATTATAAAATTTATCATATACATATTGTTGCAAGTGTATAGCTAGTTTTACTATATATTGTTTTAACTCATACAAAAAAACTGTATGTAACGGAAATTAACATCTCCGCTTTGTATTAAGTAACTTAGATTATTGCAACTAATATACCAAATTCTGGTATTCTGGATTCCACAGGCCACATTCTATAAGAAAATTTTTTTCCGGGTCGATCTGAGACAATGTTTTTTTCGGGGCTCAAAAAAAGGCAGTGTATAACTTTCCTTTTATACCAAAAATCGACTGCACCAAAATTTCTCGGGAAAACACTTTTTCTTATTAATTTTGGTGCGTAGAATCCAAAACAATTCGTACTTTTTCGATCAGACTTCTCAATCAAAGTTATAGACTAGAAACCAATTTCGAAAGAAAATTCAAAGGGCTGTAACTTTTGAACTAGTAGCCCAATCTTGAAACTGTTTGAAATTATGGATTCTACAGGCCACATTCTATAAGAAAATTTTTTTCC